TTTTTTTTTCTTTTTGCTACCAGACTTTCTTTCTCCGTAAGTTTAGGGTTCAAGAGAATGGCTTTCTGAACAACTGTTTTGGTGACCCACGACCAGCGATCTTCCTCTTAGCCCCCATATAAGCAGAAGGGGGGGGAGGAGGAGGCAGAAAGGGAGGGGGTGGGTGGAGGAGGAGGCAGAAAGGGAGGTAGGGAGGGGGGGGGGAGGGGGAGAGGGAGGCCCCAGGAGGGTCTTCTTCTTACTCTTAGCCCCCATATAAGCAAAAGTCACAAACTGTCACATATATGATTTGGGTTTTTGGTTTAGGCCCTTTAGGGTTTAAACTTTAAAAGAATAATTCAATTGGTTGCGCAATGCGCAGTCTATTTTGGTCAGAAGAAGAAGAATTGTGATTGCGACGACAGCGGCTATTTCCGGAATACTTCCTATTAGGGACAACAGGATTGTTGTTTATTTGTGGAAGATATTTAGAGGATGGAGGCTTTTTTTCGGTTCTGAGGAAGAGGGAGGAGTGGGGGGGGGGGAAGAGGAGGCAGAAATTCTTTCGAGGTTGAGAAGATGTGGTTGTCCTATAGTGTTCCATCATTATTTAGATTTTTACAAATTTTGAGTACTTTTTACTCAAAATTATTTTCTGTACTTTAGATTTAGTCGAGGCTTTGGAATTGTATATAAGAAATGTTGCGCATTTTATTATTTTGATAGGTACTTAAGATTAGTTCCAACTTCCAATCTATTTAAGTTTTCCACTAGTATTTTTTTTGTGTGTTTTTTGTTTTTTTGTTTTGTTGACTTACAAAACATCATAATAGATTTTATTATATTTGTTGGGAATTTTTTTCGTCTCTCATTCAATTCCTAGTTGTTGACTTTGACCGTATCTCATCATCGAGTCAAAATCATTCCAAATGGGTTCCAAATGGGTTCCAAATTGGAACAATGTGGAACGGTATGGTCCGATTTGGTCCCATGAGTTGAGTACCATTTGCACCCATTTGGTACGATTGTAGGGGGAGCCGAAAGTTATGTCTGCTGTCGGCTTAGTAGTAGGGCAAGGCGATGATCACATTGGGCAGGCGGTGGTTAAAGAGACCAGCATTGTGCATGGACATTATATTATTATTATTATTATTTTAATAATTTTATAAATTTATAATATAGGTATTATTGTTCCTTCTACTGTTTTTGACTTCTTGTCGTCGCTGTCGTTATTGTTATTGATTGGTGGTCGTCAATGTCGTCAATATATATATATATATAAACTCTGACGAAACAGTTTGTCACAGCCCCTCGTTTGTTGTCCTCTTCTCTTATATATATATATATATATATATATATATCGTCACAAACAGAACTGCCCGGTAAACCGTAGGCAGAGAGAGAGAAGAGGACAACAAACGAGGGGC